CAGTTGGTGAATATATTTGCACTATAGACCATGTTTCTCTGCCTGGAGGGATTCTAACATTCAATATAGCGATCCTTTCTGATATGCCGATTATTTCCACTATAGAGTTTTTGAGTTCTTTCTTGATCAGGAAACCTACTCCATGTCTTCCTGGAGTTTCACCTTTATAATATAATATGACTTCATCGTATTCCTGAATTGATTCGCCAATCCTTCTTACTTCGCTCAGGCCTATAATGTCCCACTTAATATTTTTGATAGAATATAGAAGTTCTTTAAGGCTTTCTTCAGACTTTAGGGATAATGTGTTGAATGTGGCTATATATATTTGTTTGGTATAAAATTGTTTCTCAGTTGCACAAGTATTCGTTTTAGGTGTGGGAGTGGGAGTAGTATTTGGAGGGTAATGGTCGCTTTCCCCCACGGTGACCAACCGTCTTGGGGTGATTGCTTTCAATGTTTCTTTGGCTAAGTGTGTTTCTATTGTTGGGTTGGGTTTCCTGTTGTTGTCGGCGTCTGTTGAGCGTTTTTTGATGTTGATGGTGAAGGTAGTGACAGTGATCTACCACGTGCTACGTAGTCTAGCATGCAAGTTTTATTAATCTTCTTTGGGCCCGCAGTACGTGTGTAAGTTGGGGATTTGCTTGGGGAGTTAGTGAAGTCTCTTTTTCTCTTATCTCTTTTGTCCTCTTTCGGTTCTTTCACAACTATTTTATCCTTGAAAAAGTAACAAATTTTTCCCATTGCTCGTTCCTCCTTTAGTTGAGGCAGAAGTTGTTTCCTCTTTTCCAAGGTTTCCTTGCTAAGGTCCTCCTTAATATAGATATCAGAATCCAATTTCTTTTTGTTCCTAAGTACTTCGTTTCTTCTCCAGTTTGTTGTAAACATTACAAGGATAGGACGCGGTTTGTTGCCTTTTTTTTCTCCTAGTCGATAAGCTTTATTTATTTCATTCGAGTTAAGATGAAGATTCATGTTTTCTTCAAGTACTTTTTTTATGACTTCGATTGGAGACTCCATGCGCTGTTCCTCTTTTATACCAAAGAAGATTATGTTGTTTCCCTTCCTGTATTCTTCCATCGACTTAATTTTGTCTTGTAAGATTTTTACTTCAGTCTTCAGGCTTTTGTTTTCTTCCACAAGAGCAGACAATTTTTCGTTAATATTCTCTGACACGTTTCTAGTGACAGCTTCGGTTATTGCCTTTGTTTGCGCAGCCATCTCCTCCTTCATTCTGTGCCAAAAAAAATCCATCTCCTTTTCCATTATTGAGTTGGAATACTAGATAAGGGTTGTCAACACCAGATTCCGGTTTCGGTGTCAGCCAGTAAACATATGTTATCGTTAACTCGTCCGAAAATAATTACCATTCGCTTCGAGCTCGGGAGCGGCGGCGGCGGTATAATTCCTTACAGAATTATTTTTCCCTTTATATACTATCTGTTAGAAATAAATAAGATATCTTCATATAAATTTATAAAACAAAAATTAAAAAGAATTGTTCTTTCAATATCCCGTGTATAGGTTTGAACTTAGGCCGATTGAAATGTTCGATTCCGGAACACAGCTTAACTGCGAAGCCGATTACTGTATGACGAGGAGGACGAATTACTTGAACAGTTTCTTTCTTGAGTGACGTTTACAAAGAGTGACGTACACACGTTTAACATCACAGATAAAAAAGTCATAGTTTTTTCTTCTTTTTGTAGTAATATCAACAAAAATTGACTGATCCTTGTTATAAGTCACTCGCACTTGATTTGTACACGCACTTTTAATTGTTTTAGTCAAAACGAAAAGTCACCGAAATCGAAGTCAAGACAACACAAAATAAGGCAGATACGTTTGCCTATGGTATATCTTCTCCTGGTTCGCTTCAATATTTACTTTTTATTGTGTATTCTCACTTATTTCTATTTTTAATTGGTTATTTTGCGAGGACTCGATATTCAACTTGCGCCTACCCGCAACAAGCTCCTTTTAGTCATTTAATATTTCCTATATAAAATTATTATTCTACTGAATATTTGGAAACTATTTTCACTTTTCTTAAAAAATAATGATGGTCTAAATTTATTACAAAATTGTTTCATAAACAAATTATTAATAAATTAAAAACAACTGAATCAGTGTATTTGAAACTAAAGTAGGTACTTATGTCTCTGTTTATTTCAGTGTAAACAAAATTTGTCATAAAGAGAACATCCCTATACAAATTGTGTACACAAAGACTCTTTGCCTAAGACTAAAAAATAAAGACCTAAACTAAACTATTCAATTGATAGCCATAAGGGTCAAATCATTCATACAAATCTGGGTAGTATAATACACGACTTTACACTCATCTATTTGCGTGAATCATACAATGAGTCACTAACATTACCACCCCTTATGATAATATGCACCACCCCGAAACTTATTTGATTCCACAGAAACGAATGTTTATTGTTGGCATGGTGTGGCGTAATAAAGTAATGAGTCAAAGAATAGTTAAAAATTAATGTTGGTAACATTTGGATCGAATAGAAATATTTACAAGCTATAATAGACAAATATACAGTTGTAGAAGAGAACAAATTCAATTTACAATACATTTAGGAAATTTTCAGAGCTTTATCTCAAACAAACTACAAACATCTAAATACTTAACCGTACCTAAAGGTACTTAGATGTTATATATATTTATATGTTAAATATGAATTAGATGTTACATAATTTAAGTTTGTTTTTTTTAATTTACTCGCGTATAATAAATATCTGCTTATTATTTCGATAACATCATAGACATCAAAACTTTTAGGACTTGAATGATTTCACTAAATTTATGTTGAAAGATCACTTCATTTAGTAACAATTTTTTCAATGTGACTCCTAATAAAATCCTAAACCCTCATTGTAAACTGTCATTTTTTTCTACTTTCAAACGTCAAAAAAATCACTTGAAAACACTTCGCGTCTTATAAAGGGTTCCGGAAACATGATGTAGTGTCTGCGATCAGGCCTTGAATTGACAATACCTCCCTAGTGTTTAGAATTCAAATCATTTGTTTTATGTGCTTCAATGATTATGCCAAACAAGGTCACGTTGATGGCACAACAAAGGTTCAATGATAGATTGGTCTGCAATTGCACTGAAAAATAGCTCACCACTAAAGTTTACTGGAGTACTTAACTAAAGAGGCTGATTTACTTAGAATATATATATATATAAATATTACAATTGCACAGATATTATATTACAAAAATTGACTTCATTCTTTTTATAAACCATGTTATATAAATTGCATGCTTTTACATATAAAAAATCTATTTTAGGCCAAATCCCTATTACACATACATAATCATACTTTATATATAATAATAACCCGTATGAAATTTATTTATAAAATTAAAATATCTTACTTACCGTGTGGTAAGTAAGATATTTGTGGTGGTGGTGGTTTTGTTTGTATTAAATGTTATAATTAATTTAAATCTAATAAATCGTATATCTCTGTATCCTGAAGTATTGAACAAAATATAATACTAAAAAAATATGCAAAATAATCTATGTATAAGTATTACATATATCAACGAAGGTATATATTTTTTATTTGATTCCTGCTTTAGAACTTTTAAAATGTATGCTATAGGATTATAAATTCAATTATTTTAAGTTTTTGTTGAGGTTTATTGAGCGAGAAATCCACTGACGTCTCACGAGGACTTTTAATGGTAATTGCACGAATGCACACTTAATGAAAAAGGGTTTTAATGAACTGACGATATGTGACTGTTCACTGTGGGGTACAAGAATACACCCCAACCTAAACACCACTCTTCGTAGACCCATATATATGTACCAATTATAAACAAAAAGGGATCCTTCAAAATGGCCATGTCATATCATACGATTTATCGTTATAGTAAGGGTGTAAAAGCTGTACCTTGCCTATTAAAATAACTTTTCATGCTTTGTGTTAGCGTGCCTAGTACCAAAGCAACTCGTAAATGTTGAAGTTTTATGTCGCGAAACCCGGCTGTGTTTTAATGTGGATAAGCCATTGTTTTCTATAATAATCGAAAAATTATAATAATACTAGCAGAAATGCCAAGCGTTGCTATGGCTAAGGTTTTTGTTACATGGTAGTAAAGTATTCAAGGGTAACGGTAGGAGAACACCAGTCATGGGGACCACCATGTTTTTTGGTGGTTATGCCATTAAATTGTAGCTTATGAGAAACGTTGGTACTTTCAACACAGCGCCATCTGTTAGAATTGTGACTGTCAAAATATAGTAAACAAATATTTTGGAATAAAATAATATCGCGATATTACCCGCAGGTATAAATTGAGTTATAAGCTATCCTATCTTTTAAGTTAGATCAAACTGCACACGGTGTGCAAATTTGATTAAAATCGGTTAAGTAGTAGAGTCCATAGCGGACAAACAACGTGACGCGTAATTTATATATATTAAGATGAAAAAAGTTAAAAGTAAATTAAAATACGTATTGTTGGTGACAGAAACCTAAAGCTAGTTGGGCCTCTTTTTATTAGAGTGATTACGTATTTCTATTTGAATATATGTGTGCTTTAATCAACTAAATGTTGTTTCAAAGTTAAATGTTTAGTAATTTGATGACTTTTCTAATCTAAAAAATCTAAATTGTTCTTTTCTCCCACTTCTCACTTATAAATTTTACAATACACAAAAAAGCGTACAAAATTATTTAAGGGCGTGATAAATAAACTTTTGTGGCGTCATTATAAGATTGTTTCGATATACTTTTTTAATTTAAAAAAAAGTTGTATTTTATATATTTATATCACTCAGTCAAGGTCCGTAATTCAAAATTGTTTCGTAGTAGTTTGATTTTTAATTGGAACGTCCCTTTGTTTATATTGTTGAACCCTATGCTACCTGGTATTGAAAGTACTAAGCAGAGGTTAAAACTTTATTTGATAGGAACTTTTTTAGTGCGACACACGTGTATTAAGTAAAGGGCACCAAAACTAAAATGTGGAAGTTGAAAAGGTAATACAATTGAAATTTTTACATGCTTTTCTTCTTGTATATATAAATAAAACCTTGTGCTGCAGCGCGATGCGATAGAATTATTATTTTGTAAATATGTATAACAATATTATAATAATAATATCCGTTCATTTGTGTGATTAAAAAATGAATATAAAAATAAAAAATTTAATTAAAAATTTTATAGTTTCTAATACGAATGATTTAAGGTTTATTTATCTGGATTGTTTTTTGGTTCTATTTAAATTTATTTAGGTTTTTGTATGGATCAAAATTAATTTAAAATGATTTTATTATGTCTTTGCATTATAATAGTAGTGTTAGCCGAGAAGTATTAGTCTAGTGGTTAGACGCGAGTCTTTTAAACCTGAGGCCGTGCTTTCTAAGCCCGTGTCTGTTGCAATGGATTTTTCGATTCATTTGCATTTCATTTAATTATATTTGTTCTTAGGATATAGTCATGAGGAAACCAGCATATCTAAGACTGAAAATTGATAAATTTGATTTATTTGAACAATTCATGAATAAGGAATTGTTAAACTTTGGTAAAAGAGATGAAAAGTATAATTTTTCAGCTAAACACAAATCTATTCATGCATTCCTTGTAAATCGATAAAAAGTAAAAACCGAAACAATTCATATGAATTGACTGATTTCAATAAAATTGTTATAATTTCTAGGTCGATTTATGTAACATATTTTGAATAATAATATATAATAAGTTGTATTTTATATTACAATTAGTTAATTCTTATTCATCGTTCCTTAGGTACAAATAACTTCTATTTACTACCCCCAACACGTGACTCACTGTATAGGAGGTTGCGTGTTTAAATGCATTTCAAACGACCACAATAACCAGACCCCTCGGTCCTTAGATGTGCTGAACGATTTCATTTAATAACTACGTAAACAAACCCTTAAGCGGAGATCAAATAAATCGGTAAAGTTGTAATAGGGCTGTACTGCGTGCGTCTTAATTTTAATGATTGTTTGTATGAGTCATGATAAATAAATTGAATTAGTATATTATCAACTTTCATTGTTGTTGTCATGTAAATATTGAATAGCCAGAATCAATCGAATAAAAGGCATTACAGATACACATCAGAATGAGCCCATTAGACTAAAATTGGGCTAGCTGATGACGACGTGTATCTCGTTCGTATATAATATTAAATTTCTCATGTAAATAAAAAATAATTTTTGTAATGAGAAATAAAGTTCTTTAAGCATTATATTTTTTACGAAAATATGTCTGCTCTATCTATTATACGGTATGTTCTATGCCTTCTTCGGCAATTTTAAAAAACAAAGCAAACAGGCAAAAACCTCTTCAGCTTCATTAAGATTTTAAATATTAACCTGAGCTGCTAAGTAATGGTTGCGAGACATACAGGAGTGGACCAGCATCACATCCGCTGAGGACCTGTTTCGACTAGCGCAAGATACTCGGCAGTTAAACTAATTCAAACCTTAGGGAAACTTATAATAACTTATATATACTTTGCCTTAAACGTGAAGTGATTTTTTTATCCGCAATGTATCCGGTGTTACATACTTTAACGGAACGTACCACGGAAATTTTTGATATTGATATCTTCTATAAAACTAAGTAGGCCAATTTGTCCTATTGAATGGTCAATAGCTTCCGCAGCGTACGCAATATATATTTTTCTCATACTTAAGGTTCATCGAAGAACATTTGAAAACAATGGACCCTGAATCACTTCTCAGTGCCATCAGCCTCCGCTTAACAGTGCCCATTTGTACTCCTCATAAGTGTACTTGTGTGAACACGTTAGCCCCGTCTCACTTCCCTTGGACAAGCAAAAAAGCTGGGGCGGCCGCAGAGCAGGCGGAAAATAATAAACGGCTCAAATATACTCAAACTTAAAATACTTTATTCATATAGGTAACCAAGTACACGTATGAACGTCAACAGAAAAGATGTTAAATTGATTCTAAATGTACATTTACTACCAGTTCGCAAGTCAAGGGCGTAGAGCGGGCAAGAACTGAGTCATACAAATTGTTATACATTTGGGAAAAATTGCAAAATTGCGTTGCGTATGTACACTATGTTTGAGTTAATTTACTCTTCGTATTTAAATAACATTTTGTTTCAGCCCTAGTATGCTCTTGAGACTGCTTTTCTGCTTTTTTATCATCAAAGAAGCCTTTTGCACAGATCCAGGTATTTCATTTCTTTTATCCCTGTTGTTATTGCCACTTCCGTAGGGCGATGTGAAGTGCCTTACGTTTGCTATGTAAGGCAAAATTACATAAGATTTAGAAATTAATTTATATGATTTCGTTTAGAAGTGGTCGTGCTGCGAGCAGTGCGTGGCAGGGACGCCCGTCTGCCCTGTGGCCAGGGAAAAGTGTTTCTAGATGGCCCAGACTCTTACGTACTCTGGCTGAAAAATGACAGAGATTTTCTGTATCGATTTCCTAATGAAGATTCTGAGAGAAGGTAAACGATATAATATGATTTTCTTAACTTTTAACTCAAGCGCTTTCACTTTCAACGTTAATTCCACGCCTTAGCGTAATACCACCAATACGGGAATATTGGTTCCGGAGAAACAACGTCGTGTTACAAGACTATTTCCAGATAAAAACTGAACTGCAGTTCCGAACGAATTTATCAATAATCTTATAAAAAACGGAACAGATACAGGAGCAAACTGTCAATTGTTCCACGGACGTCGGTTCCCATTGGCACTATAAAATATTTTAAAACTTCACACCTATGTCCAAGTTGGACAGGAAGGTATCTAGAATATTTAGCATAATGTGTTTGCAGGTTAATAAATCGAGATCGCATCTACGGTACATCGTGCGACACTGGAGCATGTTACGATGATACTTCATTACTCCTGAAAAGGGTCACTGAGGCAGATAGTGGAATATACAGGTGTAGGGTTCATTACCAAGCTTCTCCATCTCTTGATTTTGTCATTGATATAAGGTTGGTCGGTAAGTAGCGTTTTTGTCTTACGATTTAGCATTTTTAACAATTCTTACTGTCAATACGATACTGATATAAGTAGTGTATTTATTAATACTATTTATATGACTTTGATATCTGATGCCTGTTTTTAATCTTCACTATCTTTCTATTCGATTAAAGTAATATAATTATGGATATATGTATCTCTAAAAGAAGAAAAACAATAGATTACATTTTGACGTTGTGTATAATTTATGAAAAACTAAATTAAACGTTAATTACGAAACAAAAACATATATTTTCATACTAAGCTACATTAAATGCTAGTAACTTATGTATATAAGTAGGAACGTATGGCTTCTACTTTTTCGGCGCGGACTATATTTAAAAATAAATTATTGTATAATTGCTATTATTATTACTCAAAAAACTTTATGATTGCTATGTACGAAAACGCAAAAGCGACAGGCGTTATAGTTAATATGAATGAACTTATAGATTCGCCGGGGTTGCCTCGAATAATCAATGAAGCCGGCGATGAAATAAAGAGGGGCTACGTGGGACCACTGAGCCTAGGGTCCGATTTGACTTTAATTTGTGAAGTTGATGATGGTAAGTTATTTTCTAACAACTTGACGGAATAATATAATATAAGCTAATGTTATAAAAACAAAATGTTTATTAAGTATATAATCTGGAGGATTCGATTTCACAAACAAACAATTCACAAGCTACTATCAACAGATACCCAAATTACTTTAAGTGTAAAAGAATTCGTAGTCCGAACTAGAGCCAGATCACTACGGTAGTAAATTTATCCTATCGCGTGGAAATTTAACCAATAAAAATCACCTAACTTTCTTGTAAGAATACATACCTACCAATGGCGCTACAACCTTTTAGTTCTCGGCCTCAGAATCTGTTCCGTGACCTAATAGGCATGTAGCCTGACTCATGTCGACTTTGCTTAGGCATGCCGGTTTTCTCGCGATGTTTAATGTTTTCCTTCATCGTACGAGAAAGTATTAATAGCCCACATAGACTGCACAGCCGGAGATCGTACCTACCAACCCACATCCTTGTCCTTAATAAAGTCAATTAATTAGTATCAATCAAGGAATATATAAATAATAGTTCGGTTCAAAGATAATTCATATCGCAAAGAATTACATTCACTTGAGAAAATTTAAATTTATATTAGGTAAGTTGACAACCGCGTGTAATGTGTGTTATTTTATATATAAAATAATAATATTACTTGGTCTTGAAATATTAAAATAACTATGTAATTTCGTGTAAAATTGAATAACAAGTAAGAAAGAAAAGAAACAAAAATAAGAATATGTACAATACTTTTTACAAAAGTGGAGATATATGGCCTATGGTTGTAACAACAAGTACAATTACCCTGTTATGTAAAAAGAACCTTCATTCTCCAAAACTGTGTATAAAAAAAAAAAAAAAAAAAAAAACTGTGTATATAACTAAAATGAAACAATCAAATCGAAAAAGACTTGATTTTAACAAATTGAACACAGCTTATCCGGAGCTGAATATATTCAGTAGTGGGCTGATCGGTTTTAGAGAAAGCATTGTGGGGTGCCTTTCTCGAACCTAATTTCGCTGTTTTTCTGATGATTTTTCTTATTTTCTGCTTCGTGCCAACAAATTTAATTTCAATGAAATTTTTAAATTATGTTTATGTTAAAAAAAATATTTTATTTTAATGTGTGTATTGTCGTGTGTGTTTTATTTGTATTTTTTTTTAATTTCTATTTAATTTTTTTTTTGAGAAACTTATGCTTGCGTTGATTGTCGCACATTTTGGATGTAAGATTTTGTGAAATAATTGGTAGATTTAGGACTGTGTGTGATGTCGTGGGCTTGATAACTAAATAAAAAAATAAAATAAAAAAAGATTTTTAATATGCGTCATAATGTTATACACTATTTTCGAAAACAGACCAACCAGACACTCTAGTCTACTGGCGTCGGAACGAAGTGATAAAAGAGCGAGCCCATACTATACGTCCTGGAGTACTTCGAGCTGATGTACACGTCCACAACGCAACCCGAGATGAGCTTGACGCGCACTACGAGTGCCTTGCACAAAACGCCGACGTCACAGAGCCGCTAAGCGCAAGCGTAGTCGTCAAAATGTATTGTGAGTTCTAATTATTTTTCTTTTAGTAGTAGTAATAGTTCCTTTTCTAGTAGTAGTAGTAAACGTACTTTATATATAATTCTTTCTTAAACGAATGAAACGGCTAAAAGGGAGCTTTAAATGCACGCCGATTATTTAAAACGGAACTATGACTGACAGTTGAAACCTATAGACAAGGGTAAAGCGGGAAAGCAAAGCCAATTATATTGTGTAGTCTATGATTATTGTGTTAAATTATATATCTTAAAAAATGTGTTCGAATAATGCATTTTACTTATTTTATAAATCAATTTTTAGTGCCGCCTATTAATGTGGAAATTCGTTTAAACAACAACTTTGACTTCGAGGCGGGTCAGCCACGTGTTGTGGATTGTGTGATTGTCGGGTGTGTCCCACCACCATCAATAACATGGCACCTTGGAGACGTTCTACTAAGACCTAGTGTTCACAAGGTAAACAAAACTAAGAATAAACACCCAATTGTATAAATCGTCAAACTTTCTCTTATATCAGAGAAATTTATATTTCCATGGTTATAGGTTCACACAGGTTTTAGGTGAATATTTATATTCACCTAAAGAAGAAGATTAAAAGAGACGAATAAGTAATTAGGATAAGTTTAGATCGTTATTTACTGAAATACTGATTTCTGGGGATGGTATTGGTCTATCCTTTTCTCACTTTAATATTAACTCCTGATAATATATTGTGTGTTTCGTACCGTATAAGGAATCTTTTTTCCCCTCTGTAATTCTAAAAACGTAAAGTTTAAAATCATCTATACTCCAAACAAAACATCACCCGTTATATATTTGTTATGGTTTATGACTCAGAACTTTATAAAACGATTAATGATACAACCACTTTAAAAAACTTTCAATACACTCTATGACGTAGCTGTGTAAATTTTTGAGCAGGCGTTATTTTTCTCAATAAGTGATTTTTACACTCATCTTTAAAATACTTCAAGTATGATGAGTTGCTTATTCACTAGCTTAGTTTTGTACATGTGTTCAATCTGTGTATTTCAACTACTACTACTTTCTACTTTTAAAATATGTCACTTATATAAATACCTACCGTCTGAAACATAGGTAATGTCGTTTCCTTGTTAAAATAGAATTGTTAACAACTTATATGTAGTAAAAATACAATGGATGTTTCTCAGTGACAATTTGTAACGTTTCCGTTTTGTGAGAAACGAAATGAAATATAGTAATAGTAGGTAGTTATGTTAAACAAAAGACAACGCGCGGCGCAAGCGCCATCCCCTGCCCTGTCCCACTTACCTTTTTTGACCATTCAATCCATTTCTCACCGAGGCCGAAATTGGTTATGCGCAGGTGCCGATCCCTCAGACGCCGTATTAATCCTGTCTTATGAATAAAAAAGTTGTAATATGAAAGAGCACACTCGAATTTAATTGTGATGTGATAATGGTAGTAGCTTCTGTACCTAGGGGTTGAAACACCTAAAATTACAAGAAATAAATGTCAAATTAAGTATTCTTAGTCATCAGAAAAAACTAAACCGTTTAGTTTAACTTGATCAGGAACTGCATGATGGAAACTACACTGTGTCTTCATTAACACTGGCGCCGTCGCTTCGGAACACCAAACATGACCTCGTCTGTCGCGCACACAATTCTCATTTACCGAACGGAGTATTTGAAGACAAAGTCACATTGAATGTTGGATGTAAGACTACTTATCTATTGTTATTATAAAGACGTAAAATATGTTATGATGTTTGATACCTATAGAAAGTCACGTTATTTCCAATTAGTGTCGTATATATAAATAAACTGAAATGTACTAAAGCTTTGTCATGTTTCTTACAAACCGATTCGACATACGTTGTCCTGTACACACTGTAAGGTTCATGAGTTTGTTTTCAGCCCTTGACTTACGATTTTAAAAATTCTAGTATCAGCAGTAGCCTATATTAACATATTTAAGTATATTATTCCATAGTGACTTGCCATCGTTTTTAAGGCTTGACTTAATTTTTTTTGATAAAACCACGTATGTCGGTTGTAATTTTGATTAAAGAATACATGGATATTATACTGTATTGATATGATTTTATTGAGTAAAGAATTTACTTTAAATGTTTTTTTTAGTTCGCCCCTTATGTATTTCAACAAGGGAAGAAACTATAGGAGCTGTGGAGCGAGAAGCTGAAACTTTGGTTTGCGTTGTTGAAGCATCACCGGAACCTTTACAGTTTAGTTGGACCTTTGCAGACTCTAGAACACTATACACTAGTGTGAAGGTAACTCACGAATATTAACATTATAGCAGTGTCGGCTAATGGTTTCATCATCATTTCATCCCTGAGGTCGTAGGTTCGATGCCCGGCTGTGCACCAATGGACTTACGAACTAGCTCGCACGGTGTAGGAACATTGGAGGTAACCTACATGCCTTATACCCAAAAAAGTCAACGGCCTGTGTCAGGCACGGAAGACTGATACTTGCGTATTAAGAAAAATAAAGGATCACGAAAGAGATACACGAAATGTTTCAGTGATAAGCTTTAAGGCATATTTATCATTGTTCAGCCTTCATTCAGTCCTTCGTCTGTATAAAAAACGAATGAATGCGTTTATCTTGAAGCCAATTTTTTAACAATATTTTACTTATTTGAACCAATATGAAGCGGTAGAAATTTCTATTTTAAAATTGGTTTAGTCCTGAAATGTTTTTTATCTTGTATATAAGACAGACAATATTATTTATTGCCTTATTAAAAGTATAGGCTGATCTTTAAAGGAAATTGATCACTGAAACACACAATGTTACGGTAACGTCACACATCACTGTATGGTTGTTTTAATTTTATTCCCCCATTTTACAGAAGCTACCAGGTCATACACACAGGTACTCGTCTACATTGACCTGGCTTCCTAGGGAGAGTGATATTGGTATTCTGCTGTGTCGGGCGACGAACGCGTTTGGGGAACAAAAACGTCCTTGCTCATATACTATATCAGAAGGCGGCCCACCACGGGCACCTGATTGCGTCGTACTACGCTCTTATCCTCACGCCATCCGTATCCACTGCCAAAAAGGTACTATTGACAAGGCAAAAAATTTAAGATAGAAGAGACATTCACGATTGGGCACGTGAGCATTTCCATATTGAAAAACATTTGATTTGTGTTATTAAATCACGCCTATCGCGAAGTATTATGTCCAGAGCGTATATTAAATGATCGCTTGTGATAATCAGTAATCATGAATTGGCTTCTAATTCCTATTACGTACCGCATAATTCATTAATTTTCTACTCAATTTCGTAATGAAATAAAAACGTTCGATCAAAAATCCCACTGAGGCCAACGTAATTTTAACTTATTATAATTTTTTAACATAATTATAATTTCTATACAGTTTTCGTAATGTAGTTTATTATGTATAACACACACGGCTGGACCTTTTTTTAATAAATATATGCTATATTATAATGTAGCAATCTAAAGGTGAAAGAATTTTTGAGAACGATCCAGCAGTTTTGAGTTAAAGGCTAGTACAAAAATACAATATTATTTATAATATTAGTAATGTTGTTAACCTTTGCAAAATTATTTTTATTTTTTTCTTTAAGGTTGGGATGGAGGTAGAACACAAACTGTGTATTTAGAACTGCTGAACGCGGACGGTACCTTAGTCCACAATATTTCAAATACCGCTGGACAATTTCAACTCCCTGACATAGAAGATGAAAGAAATTTAACAGCTGTAGTGTACGCCGCAAATTCTAGAGGGCGAAGTGAACCCAAAACATTACATCTGCAGACAATAACACCTATTAGTGCGTCAGGTAGCATTTTGTTCTACGTATTTGAAACTGCCTTGCGATTCTGTAACTCACTTTTCGAACTCACCGATAAGGAGGGAGCTTGTAGTTTATTGTTTATCGGAATGCCAAATCGTAAAATGACTGATTTGAGCGCGACCGCCGCTGCGAAAACCGCTGTGAGAGTTCGAAAAGTGAGTTAGAGAATAGCAAGACTGATTACAATTTTAAAAGATCTCTATCTACCCATAAACTAGATAATCCCCAAATAATATCGTAAATTTTAATGGTATATATTATAATTCCAGCCGTTAAAAAGTACTCCCAAACGGGTAGTTGGACGCCCTGGCTTGAAGGTATAGCTATTGTTGGAGTAATAGCAGCCGCAGTGACTGGATCAGCTGTCTGCTTCAAAATAATCCGAAGCAAGAAAGATGCAGTCGAACACAACCCCGATTTAGTACCTCGATCTGATGGTAAGGTTTCGTTTTATTTTTTCTAATTTATTCGTACATATAAAGACTAATGCACGAAGAAATATAGGCAGGCTGGACCTTTCAAAAAAAGAATTGGGTTCTAAAAGAGAGCCAAATGCAATTGATGAACAAATATTGTCTTTTTTTCATAAACAAATATCGGACGCGACAAACGTTGTTTTGTACACACACAAAAATACCATCAAAACCGTTTAGGAGGAGGTTAATTGCAAACACACACACAGAAGATTTATATTTAAAATATTCGGATTATTCGGAATTAATCTGATGAACTTCTGTTTTTAAAACACCCTACAATTATTTATTGCTTGAATATTTTAAGTATTATCCAAATTATGTTTGATTATTGAGTATGTAATTAACATGGATATTTTAGGTAAGTATACTGTTTATATGCATTCTAATATTCTTTTATTTCAAGGCACATTTCACCGAGAACCCGACTTTACCCGGGAAGAACGTCTTCTTGGTACGACAAATATAACAGTTAATCAACTTGCGTCATGTCAGAATGTAAGTAGATGTTATTCTAAATCGTTTATAAATCAGTAACGACCAAACTGTCATCTTTATAATTTATTAATTTGCGGTTAAGTCTGTAAAGTTGTATAAACCTCAAAACTGTGAAAAAGTAAAATGGGAATTTGGCTGACAAAAACTGAAATAAAGTGCCATAAATAATAAGGTACACAAGAATGCCAGTAGTGTGGAGAATACTTCATCCGTGAATCGAAACTAGAACTGTGCCTAGAACTGGTTTATACTCTATTAATGAAAGTCAGACTACAAACTCGATCATAATTTTCCTTTTTTACTGCTAGTTCAAAATAAGTCAATTTAACAAAATAAAATATTTTGTTTATAGCAATACACGCCTTCGCCCGTACCTTCTTGTAGAGTGCTAGTGGGTTGCAGTCATCCGCCGCCTCCAGATTCTTGTCCGGCAACTCAACATTCTTATTTTGTATAAGATATACATATATGTATTTGCATTATAATAGACTTCTTAGAACTTTTACAGATGTAGTCAGAGTCGTTCATTAAATAATCTCTAAGGATACATTAATAGTTATATAGCTAGAGAACTATGCAACTCAGCTATATACACTTAATACCCAATTAGTAAAAGATTGATTTAAAAAAGCATAGGGAAGTGTACGCTTAAGCTTTTTTTTTAAATATTTCCTAAATGTTTAAACTTTTAATGAACGACTCTGATTGTAGTTGCCAGTATGGACTCCGTGTTTTGTATGTAATTTGTATAGAATTTATACCATTCACTTTAAGTAGTATTTAAGATTAAGTTCCGTATGTCAAATTCAATACGTTTACTACAAACCGGAGTCAAACTTAGCTATGACAATGAATCTTACATTAATACATGTAAAGTTACTTAATTGATATACATACTTCCGTCTTAGACTAAAAATCAACGATGTGTGCGAATAAGGCTAGGTCTGACTTGTCAAGAAAGAAATTTTTTCAATGAAATATGAAATTGGCAGGTTACAAACAACAATACCTTCTCATGTTATAAATATTTTTACGGTTATAAATACAATATTTATCAATTTACAATATGTACGAACTAGTAATGGCTTTACTAACTTTATAGTAGAATTAATAAGTTTTCACAATGTTATAGTTTGTTGCCTGAGTATAAAAAAAAACAATTTAATTTTTATTGTATTCAAAATAAATAATAAGTACTAGCAAATATAATTAATATGGTACTCTATGAACACTTTATACTTAACTTAAATATATATAATCATATTATAATTATTTTTTATTAACTTATTAATGCCCCAGTTCTTGAACGATATTATCTGATAGTTAAGTAATATAAAAAAACACCATAACCAATGGTGTTTTTTTAAATGGACCGACGCGTTTATGATCATAACTCATAAGACATAATAAATTACATAAATAATAAATATCAAACAGAAATCGAATGAATCAAATACAAATCATGTAATTTATTGGAAGTTGCATATACTGTATAAGTAAGGTTAAATTTATTATAAATTTAAAATTGTTTTATAATAACTTGTACCTAATAATGATTTTTGAACATGATAAACAACAGCTACCGTCACGAGCATTTATTTCATTTTAATCAAAATTTATTTCGAAATTACTTCATAAATATCTTAGGAGATATTAGTTTTTACTCCATAAAAAAATAACAGACTTCAAAATGAGTTAAAAAGTATTAAACCATTGTTGCTAATTTATGGCAGCCGTTTAAATTAGTCTCATAGACTTATTTGAATGCACTTTTTTTATTGTTATTTTTTGACTATTATGTAGATCAATAAAGAATTAATAATAACAAAATATTGCGCGCTTACTAGCGTGGGCTTCGGGATTTTACGGTGCGGGGCGGGGCGGTAGTACTGGCAAGAGTACAATGTCCGCGTTGTACTAGATAGCGGGTAACGAAGCGGTAAATTCACAAGCGATCCATATATTAGAGTAAGTTTTGTTCAATATGTATATACAAAATGGTACGCATTTTGTTTACATAACTATTACAACATATTGTAGTACCGAGTAGTGTTTGCTTGCCTATAAAATAAAATAAATGTCTGTTAATATAGCGCTAATCGCTTTTTCTGATATCAAGACAGTTTTCTCAGTATCAAATTGAAACTGTATATTGATGGGAATGTGCGATCCATCATCTGATGTGATATCGTTCTAGAAAGCATTTTGAATAGTATATATGTATTTTAGAATCCTGACGTCAAAGGTGATATGATTTATTTAGGGCATCTCAAATAAATAATTTTATGTTGTTATTAGTAGGCATATATAGTCTGCATTACAATTAATTTAACTTTTTTTAAGTTTATATTTACACAAAACTGTTTAAATATTTAAATTGAAACTAAAACACCTCGATATTAAAAATTAGTAAAATACAAAAAATCTTAGTGCTTTTTACTCACTTGTTGACACGAAACTAAAAATAGATTTAACAAAAATGTATACACTCTATAGTTGAAGGTCACCTTAAGCATTATTACCTTCCCATAATAACTAGAAATTGAGAAAATAATTATTCAAGATAAACAAGCTAGAGACATTACATTACACTTAATTTTATTACACTCGTTTAAGACTCAGAATAGTGTGAAAATATTTCAATGTTCTCTTACTCAGACTGAGAGTACCAATGTTTATTCGTTTTTACAACAAACAACATACTGTATTTAGTAAAATTACAATGGATAGTTCCCATTGACAATTTTTCAACAGACGTTGCCGTTTTGTGTCCCGGCCGGAGGTTTTCTTTTCATCCTGTCGAGTATGAGAAAATAGGATTTTTAATTAATTACATTTTCCTTTACTGTTACGTTAATATGCATATTACACCTATATAGTGCAAAGGGGCTCTATAAAAATACCATATCGTTTTTTCTACGTTGTATATAGTTCTGATAATTAAGTAGTTTTGCTTAAGGCACTTGTCTCACCGGCAACGATTAACGAGTAGAGCTAGAACTAGAAACGAGTTAGTGAGACGCGGGGAGCGAATGCGTAGTTCCGATATTTGTGTAGCTCGGCTATAAGCGAGTGTGCGAGTAAGGCGGGCGATTACTCGCATCACTCGCTTTATTTTTTTTTAGAATTCATCATCATCGTCGTCTGAACTAGATAACAATGATAATTCAAATGATTTTTCGATATTCATATTAAATTTAAAAAAAACGTGTACTTTCAGATACGCACAGTAGAGAAATAACCACTGGTTGCTCTCTCGGTGAGTTCTAATCGCTTGGCGAGTATCGCCGAGCGAGTGTTATCTTTCATAGCTCTTGTCGCTCAGCGACAAACTAGTGAAGCGAGTGCTCGCCGGCAGTGTGAACAGTCAGCGATCAACTGTTTGTATATGCATCTCTTTTGTTCACACGGAAAGTATATCTATTGTACGTTTCTTGAGCGAGAAAATAGCCGATAGTTAGTCGTTTTCTCGTCGTTGGTGGGACAACTGCCTAAAGCGTAAATTAAAGCTTAGAGCGGGTTCACGGCACATTTTTAATCGCTCGCTCCTACCATAGACATCACTTTAATACGAGGCATCGTCAGCGGCCAGCTCGAACAAGCTCAGTTCACAGTTGCGATCAGCAATAGGTCGTGAGTCTTGTGTTTAACGAGGTGAGTTGACAGTTAATTTTTACACATTTTTAATAAATATAGACAATTATTATAATATTATTTATCACATAAAATATGTAAAGGGTCTAACATTTTTTTAAATTTCCTAAGGCGTTCTAAATCTAGAATTCTCTCCAATCTACTTTCGAAAATTGTGTTTACTGTTAATGTTTGTTTAAAGCATTTGTAAATAAGAAAAATGATTCTTTGTAGTATGGGGATAGCAATTTAAACTTGTTATAATTGTAGAAATATTCTATACTAGTAGGTAGGTAGGGTACTTTATATTTTTAATATGGGTTTTTGCAACTACATTTCAATCATTACGCCAACTTTCTATCTTGCAAAGTTCCTATTACCTATTTAATATTACTTATAAGTTACGCTGTGCGTTAAATTTAATCATTTTATATTGGGTATATCAGTTGGTAGTTTATAGTCGGTCGTACCTTTCCACGTTGAATTTTAAGTACAGTGTAAATTCTTTATAACGAATTTCAAAGGACCGAGCATTTTTTATTTTTATAGTAAAGTAGGAATTAATGTATGGGCATTGGCTAAAACCTAATAATTTGAACTCATTTTTGCGTTATAGAGAGTTTTTCTTTATAACAAATCGCGTTATAAAAAGTTTACACTGTATATTGATTTTGGATACGCATTTATTGCGAAATTTCTATTGTTAGTTCATTTTTCTAGTAATATTGACGTTCTTTCCAACGCTAAGAAAAATCTCATAAGACACAAAGCGTGCTTAAGATAAATCCATAGTACAATTATTAATATCTTTAAATAACGGTTTTGGATCGAAAGTGATGTGTGCATTGATAATAACAATAAAAACGTTACGTCTTCGCTGTGCATTACATTTAAGAATTGTATATTGTGTAATGCTGTAGGTTTCATTATAAGTACCTAAGTAATAATTTGTAAAGGTTTTTAAATAATCAAATAGTATCTAGGCTGTATTTTGCACGTGTTAGCATATTTTATTCATGAATATTATTGTGAATGAAGGCTCTCATTGCTATCTCCAAACCATGAGCACATAAAACCGGTAGTCTACTTTTTCTTGTGAAGTTTAAGTAATAAGCGGCGGCGGTATCTTTTTATATTTACCTTTTTACAATCAAAACTTTAAATTTTAACGTTCACTACGATATACTTACGTTATTACGTATATATGTAGTTATTAATAGAATAGATAGAATAGAAAAAAAGTTAAGTTTTAACTTTATTTTTAATGATTTACTAAATGGATGAATTACTTTAGAAGACAAGACTTATACAATAATTTATGTAAATCAAAATGCCGTAATAGTTGGTAGTGAAAAAATGTATCTTTTTATTCCGCGGTCGGTTGTAGCTTTGCGCGTGCGCAGATTACCATGGCATTGGTCGTTTCCACACATGGACGGAGTGGAGAGCTGAACAAGTGGGTCGCAGTGACGTGTAGCACTTACTGACCTATCGATACCTTCCTCGATTATTAATCATTCTTACAAAATAAACTAAACGATATGTTACTACGATTCTGACCAAAGTTTATCATGAAATTCTAACCCTGATATTTTGTTTGGTTTGATTTATAAATATAAATTTAATTCAATGGTTAAGTCCTTAATACATTGTGTTTCCTTTGTAATTAGATGAAAAAATAATAAAATCCACTTTGTTTCAGGCTCAATTTATATCGCCCGAATAGATAGTTTTAAGGGACAGTTGGCACTTTTGTATTCCATGGTTTGCGACGTCCACTAAAAAATGGACGATTTCAACAAGATACGGACCATTTGTTTCCTAAGGAATACATTATGGTGCGATCCTGACTTCCCTGCAGAAATAATGTCACTATTTTATCATCAAGTTCCCAATGTCCAATTCGAGTGGAAGAGGCCGGCTGTAAGTATCAAAAACGGTACATGAAACCACAGTTCACCCAAGACTTAAGTAATCTTGCCACATTTGGGCATTTTTTCCTCTGGAACTCAAACCCCGTATGTTGGCTTAACCAACTGTTTGCAAAAATCCAAAGCAAGTGGAACCAGTTCGAGTGCATCCATGTTTACACCATTAAACTAAACTACGTGATAACAATGGGTTAGTTTTAACTTTCACTTTCTCAGTAGATTGATGAACATATTTATACACAGAAATTGCTTGAACGACGTTTCATGCCTTATCTTTTCGCAAATTCTATAAGCGTAACGCCGGAGAGGGCCAAGGGTCATAGGAAGGTACCTTTTGTCATGAATGATGATGACCACAAACGTAAAAGAAATTACATTTTAAGCAGTGTTGCTGCTGGTTTATTCTAAAATAATTTTAATGTTTAAAGAACTTTATGTCTCATTACAAAAAATGTATTTATATATACATGAGTAACTTAATATAATATACGAACGAGATACGCGTCGCCATCAGCTATCCCAATTTTAGTCTATTAGGCTCATTCTAATATATATATTTAATGCCCTTTTGAATTGATTAAACACGATATTACGAATTTTAGAGGCTGATTGATTAAATAATTGCACACCATACTCAATAGATTTCTTTAAATAATTTGTAATATTTAAATTACACGCAAACTTTGAGAATATTTTTTTTAGTTAAGTTCTCTAATAAAGAATGACATTTTGGAGAATAAAGTATCAAGTAACTTGGCTGCCCATTTTTTTGTTTTAACATATACCTCCTAAGTCCTAATACTCGTACACTCGTATCACCTCGACGTCCGTCTTTCCACAACTTAGCGTTTTTAAGGCACTGTTTTACTATTAGCTACTCACGTGCAGTATTTCCGTCCTTCCGTTATATTTTAGTCCTTCAAAAACCACTTCTTCAGGCCGACAACGAACATGTCTTCTGGCAGTGTAAGTGTCCATGGGAGGCGATTTTACTTAACATCAGATGAGCCTCCTGCCCGTTTGTTCTATAAAAAGATCAGTTTATTTAATTAATTGTCTAAGTTTAGGCAATATCGCCTTTTTGTGATAATATCGACGCCTCCCACGCATAAAGTCGTAAGGCAAAAAAAGCATTTTTTCAGGAGAGCAATTTTTGTGTACGTTAATGATAAACTTAATTTGTTAAACATTTTTAACCGATATTTTTGCACTATGCGATTAATTATTAGTTACAAAACATTGCTCTCAAAGCTGGATGCTATAAAAAAATTATATTTATGCAAAATTACTAATTTTAGTTACATACGACCTTATACTCACTAGAAAAACGTCGTGTCTTATTGTTACGACTTTATGCTTTTAATCAGGTTGTTATAAACAACGCGAATAAAGTCGTATGTTTGAATTACGACATTATGCTACGCGTAAACTGCCATATAGGTATCTCGAAAAGGTGGTCGTATGTGGTGGTGGTACTTCATGAATAAAAACAAAAAAAATGTGTAGGCTAAAACTAGCTTTATTAAAATATCTATAAGTATAGGAACATAATGCAGTCTTCTTTCATTACCATGAACAGTATAATAAACGTTTAATAAAAAAATAACATAGCTTCACTAATAAAATTAAAACTGGCCAGTGAGTCTTTGGAGCACAGATAGATTAATGAAATAAAAAATGACTACAAATAAAAAATAAAAATAAGACTGATAAATCAAGTTAAAGGAAACAAAAAATATTTAAATCTTCAAAATAAAATGAAAATTACTTTAAATTAGATATTGAATCATCTTATACATAATAGACCTTTAGATTTATGATAGAATATCAGTGATGTAATTGACGGTTATTCAGAGAAATCACTACTGTTCTGTTCTGCAACATTGCCGCTGTGTGACAACTGTTGATAAAAACTATGGTACTCTTGAGGTATTATACGTCCTTGACAAAGACTTAATAAATCATTAAACTTTGCTAATGTAATAGGTAAATGGTCAGAGTAACATGGACCTAAAATTTCTGTATGTAATAAATTATTATTTTTCCTTCTTGATGAATAATTTTTTTTGGTTATTAAACTCATAATGTTATTTTCTTCTTCAAAATTATAACGATAGTTCAAAATATAGGGTTCGTTGGACACTACCTGAACTTCTCTAATCTTGTTCCATGATATTTTTTGGTTTTTAGTATTTTTAGCCCAATTTCTACCGTCTAGCAAAATTTTATAATTGTAAAAATCTGTAACACTCATTTCAATTACATTATAATTTGGGGGGTTGACTTTTGACCATCTAACTAAGGCAAACCACTGTGCAGGAGTATATATAAGTTTATTTTTTTGCATTTCTCTCAATCAAAGCATGAACTGAGTCGGCTTCATTTTGTGTGTGCCCGCGCTCTAAAAACCTATGAACTATCGTTATACCATACTTTTTTGCTACATAGGTATATGCAAACACAATACGGTTTCTATTTTGGCCGGCACAGTTATCGGACCAAAACCTGAATTCTTTGGCACCTTGACTAACTTTAGTTTCAATAAATTTAGACAAGCAACTTGCTACTTCACACGCCCCATGTTTGCCATTAACCTCGGACCACATGTAACAATAACCTTCTTGACTAGCTAGATCAAACACAGTAAAATTATAAATTGACAGTTTTCTTTTATAATAAAATAAACCGACATTGCCATGGGGACAGTTTAAAATTTTTTGGAAATCAAAACACGCCGTAACTATTTTTCCTTTGCTTTCCAAAGCTTCCTTTTTATCATTTGCCTTCACTTCTCTAGCTTTAGTCTTATTTCGCATGTGAAGTTCCTGTTTTTGTTTTTCTTCTTCTGTCATTGTATTTAAGTTTGTATTGTATATATGGCACTCATTGCAGATGTCTTTTTTCGGTTTGTGAAATGATATATTCAAATTTTGATTTATGATATCTCGATACTGTCTTACTGTCATTGCTTTTTTTAGTTATATTTTCAATCGTACACCACTCATTGTATAATGAAAACATTTTTGTAAATGATAGGTCACTCTCTAAGTAAATTTTAGTAGTGTCCTTACGCACATAATGAGATTCAATAGGCTGGAACGTTTTGACATGTCTTAAAACACTCTGTTTCATTTCGTCGTCAATGACAACAGTTCTGGTACCACCACGCCGATCAGGAAAAACAGACCCACCACCTGAACTCCATTTTGCCAATGCTGTTTGAACAGTTCTCTCCCCTACAGAAAGTGTGTTTAGGAACATCGTTTTGCAGACAAACACTCTAATAGGTATGGCAGAGTTTGGTTCAATAAGAGGCAAGCAATACTTAATGGATTTCTTACGTCTAGAAGTAGAAGGATACTTAGTGTCGCCTACTTCGGTATGATTGACGATGTAATCCCATTGCCGACAGTGATCTCCAATTTGCCAAAAAAGAACAAAATATACGCTCCCGTTCTTGTGCATTAAATTTTGTAAAGCATTTAAGTCGGCAAGTAGTCGGACATGGTTGTTTCAAAATCTTTCCATCTCTTTGAACTCCATTTCTGCTTAAATAGGCTTTCCCTAAATTTTTTAAACATTTTCTTTTTTACGTCTTTCCACTCATCACGGCGACGGTGACGCTTTCTTCCAACTCTGCCTGACGGTGTACTTTCATTTGACGAACATACAGAAGAATCCTGACTCGAAGCGTTACTAAGCTGTGGTGTATTGCCTCTACTAACACTAACAGTTGAACCATAATTATTATCATCACAAATAGATGAGTTTCTAAATAACGGAGTTGAAGTGGCCACACTGTACTCGAAAAAATCGTTATTCGGGGAGGGCATTGGTGTTAAAGAAGGTTCTATTATATCAGCTGATTCGTGAGAAAACTCTTCAGCACATAGCTCTGAATCCATACATCTTATAGTTTTTTCATTTGGCATAGCAGACGACAGTGAGGATTTTGGTTCCGTATTATATGTTACCTCGTGAATACTTGTTACAAAACTGTTGTCAATATCACTGCTACTTTTATTAAAAGAGTGCCCAAACATCGTCTTGTACAGATTCCACTGGTCTTCAGCTTCAAGTGGCACCGGTGATTCTGAAAATATTGAAGTCCAATTAGTTAAAAACCTAGAGAAAAATACATAAGCAGTTATAAATAGAATTAAAAGTTCAATTTTAGTGATATTTTAGCTACAATTGAATAGCAGATAATCGTATCTTCATTATATAACAAAGCATAAAGTCTTATGTATGTGATCCGTCTTTATACGTTTATTTATCTTTATACTACAACCACGCATATGGTCGTAAGTGTAAGTTACGACTCTTAGAAAAAAATTTTTGCGTAGTATAAAGTCTTAACTGGCCACTGCTAGCGATTGAATCCGACGCATATAGTCGTAACATAGACCTTCCGACGTTATGCACCGGGACTACATTTTTTTTGTCGAGGTCTATTAAACACTAACACTTATTAATATAATTTATTCGTATGATGGTATCTCACATATAAACAAGTGAATTATATAATAATGTAAGAAAATAGAGTAAAACTTACCATTTCCAAAATTTTCGTCGGCCGTTATTACTTCGCTGTTTGGATTGGGTTTATCTAACACTAATTTCAAAATCTTAGACGAACGTAGGTTGCTCATTTCACTAATTTATAATTGCACACGTCCTAACTAACAAAAGTAAACAAAAACAACACAACATCAATATTATTTTCAACATTTAAATTAGAGAGACTTTGTGCATGCTAGTTCGTGTCATACGACGTCGGTACTGCGCTCTGATTGGCCGGCTGAGGTCCAATAGATCGGAGCACATCGTCGGAACTATAAGCGCGACGATTTGCGGGGGGAGCGTTCAAATGTTACGACTATCATCAATTCAAAAACTCATTATTTATAGAAAATATTAAAATTTGGGTTTCAGGATTGTGTAATGCTGTTCAATAGTGTTCTAATGGTACAAAAAAACAATTTTACTCAAAAAATGTGTTCCGACTTTATGCGTAGGAGGCGTCGATATTAAGTACCGTTAAAGGAGAAAGTAAAGTCTTTTTTTGACTTTATTATATTTATAACCAATAAATCATGTTCATCATCATCATCACATCCAATGGACTAGAAACGTAATTTGGTCTGTATATCTTTGTTGACCAATCACTAGCGTACGTTCGTCCCTTAGCACAGTTAAGCCTATTATCGCTTAATCAATCCAAAAAACTATACTGGTAGATTGCTAAATAATAAGAGATACCTGCTTGACTTCAAATGAAATGTTTTGATTTTATTTACAGGAAATCCATGAAAGTCCGGTTTTTATCGATGACACCATACAAGGTTTTGATCTCGATAATGGCCCACTCGGTAAGTTGTTCTATCTATTTAGTTCGCGTACTACGTAAATTATTTATTGCAATAAGGTCCTTTTTGTATTCTGCGTTGTTCGAAACGTGACAGCCGTTTGGATTAATACTAATAATTCAGATTATTAATAATAATGCAATATAAGAAATGGGTACTTACCTATAAACTTAACAAAGTGTATTTTTTAAGGAGATTCGTGGCTAATGGGCTGTATGGAGGTCCTCCACAAGTTTAGAGGAATTTTTAAACATGTTGTTCCGGTAGAACAAGACTTCCATTCTAATTATGCCGGGATTTTCAGGTATTCTATTCGGTAGTTACAATAAAGCATGATACATTTAATATTTTGCAGTTAGGTACTTTACGGCAGTCCTGAAATACAAATTAATATAACATAATAATAAAAACAGTAAATACAAAGTTTATGTAATGATTAAATACTAACATATATTGAAATAAATGTTATATATACATTGAAATAAATAACTAACCTTAACATAATATAATAAAAAAATATATTATTAAAAGGAAAACAAAGTTCTTGTTGAAAAACCCTTTATAATAACTAAAAATGGATAGACTAGAGATAGATAGACAATTGAAACAGTGTGGTCCCTGTGGCAGTGTACCTTTAATGCTGACAGCAATTCCTCGCTGAATTGCGGTTCTTATTCGTTGAGCGAGGAAAGCACCAGCTCTGGGGTCACCGGTACTCTCTATCAGGCGCCAACTTAAATCTTTAATTAGCGCCTGTGCACTTTACCCTACGGGCCAGTCCTACTAATCGTCGTCTACACCAAAGGGAACAAAATCGAAGTTGGAGGAAAGACTTCATTTGAGACTCTTGCAGTAATTTATAATTCCAATATTTCAGATTTCGTATATGGTGGAACGGAAAATGGGAAGTAGTAATCATTGATGATCGATTACCAACTCTGAATGGCGAGCTGGTTTTCATACACAACACTCACGGCATGCAGTTTTGGGCAGCTCTATTGGAAAAAGCTTATGCAAAGTATGTTAAAAATTTCAAATGATTTATGTTCACATACCGAGAATCTTAATATATATATTTCTTCTGTGCGTGTGTATGTGACTGAACTCCTCCTAAACGACTGGACCAATATTGATGAAATTTTTTGTGTGTGTTCAAGGGGATCTGGGAATGGTTTAGATTCACAAATCAGCCCGACAGATGGCGCTGCAGTCGGTACTTTCATACTTTGTTTAATATCTTAATCGGTTGAAATATCATGCAGGACAACGTCTGTGGGGTCCACTAGTATAATAATAAAAATCGTATCGGAAAAATGTACCGGTAGTAATGATAATTAGCATAATTACTATTCTTGTTCCTAGATTGCACGGTTCCTATGAAGCTCTTAAATATGGCAATGCAGAGGACGGTCTCATGGACCTCACTGGGGGCATAGTTGAAAGTAGTTCATTGCCTCTTCTAAATCAGGTGCAAATATTACATCACCGCTTACAATCAGTTTCAACTATCGCTCTTGCATTTGCTCCGTCAGGACCTGGACCATTCGAATCAATTACGAATTCTAAACTATTTCTCATATACGAAATAGATAAAGTAAGTTACTCAGAGATAAAAGTTGCTTGGTTTGGAGATTCGTTTTAACATTGCTTTTACTTTATACAGGTTAATACCTCAGATGGTTTTATCTATATAGTCCGTATAGTAGTACCCCTCTTACCACCTGGTGACCAAGAGCTTAATCGATTCTTCGAACTTAATTATAATGCCATGTAAGTATCCCAAACTATTATAAAAACCCAGTTAAATAAAATGATGAGATTGTCATTACGAGTTTTGATAATTTATTTAATAGTGTCTAGTAGTGTATTTTTTATTGTTTGAATGTAACTCGTGAGTCGTGACCCCTAATAAAGATTTTTATTATTACCCTTACAGATGGGATTCCTTATCGGCATTTAAAAAGAATGAAATATTGTCAACTGAACATGGAATCTGGGTACCATTTAGCGAGCTTGAAAAAATTATCAGTTGTATGCGATTATTACACTTCGATGTAGAATCTTGTCAACTAGAACCCACTTTTACGTACAAAACCCGATGGTTTTCACAAAACCGCCAAGGAAGCTGGGTAAAGGGAGTGACAGCTGGAGGTTGCAAGAACAACACTGGTACCTAACCTAAAATACCTAATTTAACAAGTCACAACCAAAAGCAAATGCTTGTTATGTTTAATTTTTTTTACAGAGTCATTCCACTTAAACCCACAATTTCAAGTTTTGATAGATAGTCGGACTCCAATTATTATATCACTTCAGCAAAGCAATTCATTGGAATCGCAAGTCATTGGCTTTACTGTTCTTATGTTAAAACACATCTTAAATGAAAAAGCTTCAGCCAGCTTATTAACCAACACTGACGGTTTACTAAATGCTCACTATTCAAATGCTCGCCACGTTAGTGCTATGTAAGTATATTGTACAGCTTTTACATTTTAATTTATACCTTATTGGTCCTATCCTCTTGATAGGAGAATTTAAATTAAAACTAGTAAGTACTAAAATGCTAACTAAAAAAGGCAACAGAGGTATTGGTTTCAGTATCCTCTTAATAATCTAAAGATCATTTCAGAGCTCTCATTGAACCTGGCATATATCTGATTATACCAACGACGTATGAACCTCGTAAAGAATGCAGTTTTACACTTAGAATATTCACATTGAAACCAATTATATTATCAAATGAATTGGACATCTGCACACGTCTTCTTAATCAAATTATGTTTAAAGCCGATTCTATATTAAATAATAGTAATATATTACAACCATACAACATATTATTTCTTCAATTAGCAGATGAACATAAAACTGTAGATGCCTTTGGTCTTCAAGATGTCTTAGAAAAATCATTGCCAAATGACTACTTACAAAGTTGTGCCACAATAGAAACTTGTAGGCAAATAATATTAGGTATGGAAATGCCAGACAAGAAAGACCTTACAGGTCGTATTCACTTAAAAAGCTATAAAAATTTATTGATCAGCCTTTGGCACTGGGAAGAAATATTTAGAGTGTATACCACTAAAACAAGGGGAGTGCTTGTGGTGGAAAGGCTTTATGCTGCTTTATCCAAAGTCGGCTTTATGCTCAGTAAAAAATTAATGGCAATATTAGTGTTCAAATACATGAGGAGGGATGGTACACTCCGATTTGGCGACTTTGTCTCTGCTATATTTTATTTAAAAAGAGAGTTTGGCAAGTGCAATAGTGCTCCGAGCTTGCCATGAGTATAAAAACAAATAATTGTATTTATATACATATATATTGTATATATTAACTTTATCTATTAAAACACCAGCCAGCTTATATTTAAACATACAATTCATATTGTGAGAGATACCTATTAAATTTAACAAACTGTTTATTGAAATTAAGTTTTTTTATTGATTAAAAAAATCACATTTACAAAACAAATGTAATTCACAATAAATAAAGCATTAATCTGGCATGGTTTTAAGTTGTCTGTGATTTTAAATGTTTTTGATATGAAAATAATTAAGGAAGCAAATGGTGCATGGATGTGATAATGTGTACATAGGCATGTAAAGCCATAGGTTATTAAAATTGTGATTCTTATTTAAGTAGATAAACTAGTGAATTTAAGGCTTGCCAGGCAGGAAATGTCTGCTTGTTTTACAGTAAATACCCCAATGATACCAGATTTGCATTTGTATAAATTTTCAAATATACAAGCTACCAGACAAGGTAACATTTTTAAACAGGGTTTATCTGTAACATAGTCTAAATATACTTATTTAATTTGTAATCAATTTTATTTATCAAATTTTTTATTAATCACTACAATTTTTTTTAAATCTAAATTGTCTAATTGTTGTTTATTTCTTTAACCTAATAAAAAAGTTTTTATATTATTGGTATTTTGTATGCACAATCATTATTTTTAGCTTTCAGAAATTTATACTCTCTGTAGTAATGTAAGCCTTACATTGTAAGGTATAAAAAAAGACAAATCTTATGGAGAAAACTAACACTAGAGATATAAAACAAAACGATAATTTTATGAAACTAAAGTATTTTTATTATAACATCCAAGATCATAAAAATAAATAATTAACTACATCACATTAAAATTATTAAGGTTAATTTTGTTTTTCGTTATTTAAATTTTCAGTAACAGTTACATCACCAGTTTCTAGAGATGTTGCTTTATGCAATTCATAAAGCTGAACAAGCTGCTCATCAGTCATATAGTCTAACAGGCTTGGATCCAGATATTTTCCGATATCTTTGTTTTTAGCTTGGTTAAGAGGCTTTGTCTGTTTAGCGATATTAATAGCATAATCCTGAAACAGTTTAAAATTGCATCATACCTTCACATTATTTGTCATTCTCATTCTCTCATCTCATGTCAACTCATTCAATTACTAAATCGTAGTTACCGTCCATTCATTAAGAAAAATTTTTGCTTCTTCAGTACTGCAAGTTTTGTGGCGTTTAAATTCATCCCTTGCGTAATTGTTTCCTAGAACTCTCAACTCTGGTGGTAGAGCTCTATGTACTCGAAATATCAGCTTATAGAGACGGCGAACACGAGAAACATGTTGTGTAGTAAACATTGTATCCTTAAAGTTGCATATACAAACTTTGTTTGACTAATTAATCATTATGATATATTTTAAAATCCATATAATCCTTCCAACCACAATAAAAGTTTAAGTTTAAAGGTTAAATTAATAACATGTCATTACGGTAAAATTGAAAAATAATATCCTTAAAATACAAATTTCGTTGCGATTATTGTACGTATTGAATTCTGGATAAAATTATCTTGGCTTGAAAGTTGAAGTGATTATAAATTATAATAAAAAGATCTATAGAAGCTAGTGAGTACTGAGTACTGAGTTTTTTTTTTTTTTAATGGCCCGCATGGTTTGTGCATTGTGGCCCAGGGTCAAAAACAGGGAAACGGGTAAAAACATAAAATTATCGACTGGAAAGGAATTTAGGAATAGAAAATAATTAAACTATAAAATAAAAGATCGATTCTTATACATCTACATACAAAAGGAGTGTAAGAAAACATATTTACATATATTTACGTTCATATTGTCTAAATTTTTATATTATTACTTAAGAGAAAAGCTGCGAAAAGTTTATATACATATTAGTACGGGAGGTAGCAACGTTTGAAAAAAAAGAATTTTAGGTCAGCTGATTTTGTGATATGTCTTCCTTCTTGCACTTCCGGTTAGAGTCTGGGCAATCTGGCTGGCGGTAGTGGTTGCGTTCATTAGTGCGCATCCTATCTGTCCAGGTAAAAATCCTGGATTTTAAAAGCATTTTAAGAAGCGTAATTTTTAATTTTTCGTTTTTAAATACGTCTACCTGACATACTTTTTTTTATTGCCAGACATTTTTCACGTTGCTAACTATGTGCCAGACGCGATTTTAAGTTTTATTTTTATGAAAATTTCAAAGCATTTTAGAATGTCTGTAATTTTAATATTATGTTATTGAAATATAAGGAAAACTGAAAATGAATTTGCCAGACATTAATTCGGTTGTTAAGTCTTGAATTAAAATGATAAAGTTTTGCAGTATGATGAAGCATTGCATTTTAAGAAGCGTAATTTTTGATTTTTCCTTTTTTAAATACGTCTACCTGACATACTTTTTTTATTGCCAGACATTTTTCACGTTGCTAACTATGTGCCAGACGCGATTTTAAGTTTTATTTTTATGAAAATTTCAAAGCATTTTAGAATGTCTGTAATTTTAATATTATGTTATTGAAATATAAGGAAAACTGAAAATGAATTTGCCAGACATTAATTCGGTTGTTAAGTCTTGAATTAAAATGATAAAGTTTTGCAGTATGATGAAGCATTGCATTTTAAGAAGCGTAATTTTTGATTTTTCCTTTTTAAATACGTCTACCTGACATACTTTTATTATTGCCAGACATTTTTCCCATTGTTAACTATGTGCCAGACGCGATTTTAAGTTTTTTTTTTATAAAAATTTCAAAGCATTTTAGAATGTCTGTAATTTTAATATTATGTTATTTAAATATAATAAAAACTGAAAATGAATTTGCCAGACATTAATTCGATTGTTAAGTCTTGAATTAAAATGATAAAGTATTGCAGTATGATGAAGCATTGCATTTTAAGAAGCGTAATTTTTAATTTTTCCTTTTTAAATACGTCTACCTGACATACTTTTTTTATTGCCAGACATTTTTCACGTTGCTAACTATGTGCCAGACGCGATTTTAAGTTTTATTTTTATAAAAATTTCAAAGCATTTTAGAATGTCTGTAACTTTAATATTATGTTATTTAAATATAAGAAAAACTGAAAATGAATTTGCCAGACATTAATTCGATTGTTAAGTCTTGAATTAAAATGTAAAAGTCATGAAAAGTATTGCAGTATAATGCTTGTAGTACGAGCATAAAAAAGGAATATAAAATTTGATTAAAATTAATAATCAACACTTTATTTAAATTGTCCTAATTACTAAATGTAAGTTATGAATAATTAATATTAAGTTTTACAAGTTGTTTTAGCCTATAGTGACGTCACAAAAAGAGGCATCTTCATAATCATCATCATCATCGTCGCTGTCTTTGTCGGTGTCATTCATATCATCTTCTTGGGAACTTTCGTTATCTTCTAAAACTCTATCATCTGCAACAGAAAAAAATAAACAGTGTGATTTTTCTTGTTCGTTATTAAACATTTTAGTTATTATTGATAAATGTTCCATTTAACACTTACTTTGAACAATAATATCTGCAACTGAGGATGGTAATTGATCTCCCAAAAACCAAACAAAATCATATTTGTCACCGTTAATGGTCCACCCAAAAGCCATTGGAGATAAAGATGTTGGATGTTTTAAGTGAGCATTTCTCCAAATTTTCGTCACGTAACGAACCCTCAATAAATGCTGTTCCAATTCCACTTTACAGGGTGGCAAACTGGATGAGTCAAAGTTTCGAAATTTTTTGTCAAAGTTCTCATCTGATTTTTTTTGACTTAAACGTACTTGAAAATAAATGAAATCGAACATCATTAACAATCGAACAATTTTTAACTCCATACATTTGACAAATAAATTTCTCCAGGATTACAAACGTAGTTTCAAGTACTTCTTTATCATCCGAAATTATATTATCAAAAGCTAACTGGTATTCCTCAGAATTTTCTAATATTTTAAAAGGCTTAACTTTGCCTTTTCTAAAAAAAGCTGGCGTGTAATCACATCCGGTGATTGCGTGGAAGCATGGTAAAGCTTTGCATAAAGAGTCACCAAGAATTCGGTACAATTCATTGATGTTTATGTAACGCTGATGATTTCCAACACCCATATTTATCCAAATTTTCAAAGATTTTTTCAGGTGATCCATATTTCCCAGAAGTATAATTAAAATATCAGAATCAGAACAGCGTATAACAACTTCTGCGTCAAAATCGATTTGGCAAATATGAAAAATTATCCTAGAATCAGCTTCTTCGTGTTCTTCACACGATAATGATTCTTCAATAGTTTTAATTACTTTGTTATTTATCACTTTGTATGAATAACATTTATTAAAACTTACGTAAATGTTTTTATTACCAATGAACGGCAACATGTCTTCACTACCCCAGTGATCAATAAAAAAGTTAACCAAAGCTTCTTTAAATTGCACATTTTTAAGTTCAGCTGCGAAATTATGGGGCCGAATTTGGTTAGGACCGATTGAGACAGGGCTGGTTGCTTCTTCTCGCCGTAAACGTTCACAATCTTTGATAGAAGGCAAAAAATATTGGTCGAAGATAATATCAATTCGTACAGATTTCATTTGGGAGATAGTACATAGAAACTTCTTAGAAATACCTTCATAGGTTTGTGGCACATCTTTCATCAGATGCAACAAAAAAAAACCATCAACAAGACAAACATCAAAAGTTGACGGTTGTCGATCTATAGTGTTGTCCAATTTCTTCTCTATTAACTTTGCTAATTGCGATTTGTCGGTTTTACATATTGAACCATCTGGATGACACATTGACGTTGGCATCGGGGTAAGTGGAAATGCCAAAACTTTTTCAATGTCAACCTTGTGAGTGAGAGAAATTCCCAGCATTCTACCAAATAGATCTCTCTGCATTCGCAGCTCAACAACTTTATTCCCTAGCGTCAATTTCTTTTTTTTTGGCGCTTCAGCAAAATTAAAAACTTTATTTTTTTTTATTGGTTTATCAAATCTACTCTCATCATCTGCGCATTCATTGATAAATCGGTTCCTTAAATTCTCACCATTCTCTTGAATATTCAATAAAAAGTCAGCAACTTCAGGAGAAGCAGGCTTTGAAGTAGCAATGTTGTACAGATTTTCTTTATCTAATTGTGGATCGAATGGATTGCAATTTGCTTTGAGAATTTCAATAAAATCAGCAATTTGTTTTCCATAGATTTTAATTCTGTTAGGTTGTAATTCTGCTGTTATATCTTGTAAGTTCCTTAAGCCACAAACATCCAAGACGTGTGATATCAATGCTGCTCTTATGCTGTGACTTTTTTGACCATCGTTGTCGTGCAGCTATAGAATTAGTAAAGTGAGCAATACCACTCAATCGTTTAGCTGCATCAGCATTTATTGTTTGTTCCAGAGTGAGATCTATCGGTATTCGTGAGAATGGTTTGTCGGTTCTTTTTACTCCGAAACTTCCTTTATAAAAATCGTCTTCTAGTCCAGGGTGAGTTTTATTGACATTATTCAAATTTTCCGAATATTTTACACAATATCGAGCGTAGTTAGGCTGATTAACAATAAAAAAATAAATTTGCCATTTTCGGAATCACGTACTTAAACATTTCAAAGTCACCCATACGTATGCTTCTCGACAGGTTTATGTAGTGACTAATTAACTCGATGTAGATCATATAAAATTGTGCTGTTTTTCCGTGGTTGCCTTGTCTGGAATTTTCTACGTACCTTTTATAAGAATTGAGCAGTTCCGATAACACTTCATTTGGTATTAAATCCGTGCTCGCTGATGGTGGTAACGAAATTTTTTTGTTTTGATATTCTAGCAGATCTTCATAAATTTGTCCTTTCACAAAATCATGTTCAGCATTCTTACTCTTTAAAAATATATCGAAATGCAATATTTGTAAGCCTAATGCAATTAACGGGTGTAGACGTTTGCAACGGTTAAAATGTTTACCCTCAATTATTCCATTTACAGACCCCGAAGCAATAATTTCACTCTCAATCATCATGTGAGATAACCCGCACTTATTGATAAAAGTACCTACCGCTTTAAAAAATGCCATCATTAAATGAAACGAGCCAAGATGTATGAAAAGATTACTAAACTTTAAACCTTCTGTTGCTTGAATTTTATAAGCTGTTTTAGCAATGCCTAAGTCATAAGTAACTTGTACATAAGTTTGACCACATTCTTTACCAACATTTTGTGCTTGTTCCATTGTGTAGGCTACTACTGATACATTTGTAGGTGATAAATTAATAGGAGTAAGATAAGATACTTTCTGTTTTGGACTATTGTCTTCTATAATTCTGCAATTGAATCCTGCCCACGATGGTGTGTTCGGCACGTGAAAAACATATGAAAGCAAATGCAATAGATCAATTGTTTGTATAGATGAGAAATTTTCGGGTAAAGGTGATGTTTGATCGATTTGAACTGGCGTTAAGCGAACCAAAATCTTTAATCGCTTGCTATAAGGAATAATATCTGGAGTAATTTCTGTCAAAGTTCTTCTTCTTTTTTTGAGGTGGCCTTGTTGGTGACACATTTTCGGAGTTTGCATTACCATAATCTTGGTTAAATCCACTACAGGAATAACTATCAATGTTTTGGTATATAATCCCCACAGTGTCATGTAAAGTTTCTTTTCCATTCAACGTGTCAACATATCTATCGAAATTATCGAATGCTACACCGGTGCATAGCGAAGGATTTAAAATAATGTCTGGAGGACAAACTTGGGATTGACGTACTGATGAGATAGTTGCTTCTGTTTCTAATTCTTCTAGAGTGGTATAGTTACAGCAATGTCCAAATCTATTTAAAATATTTATTATTTTTTTTGCTGCTTGTTAGACTTTTTATAGTCATACCAAGAGTGATATGTTTAGATGGTTTAACAGTACCATTACTTACACAAAAAATGGCATCAGCAGCCAGTGAGGAAGTCAATCTACTACAATTTAAACTATCTCTGCGTCTTATATCTTTACCCCCCCATCAATACTTTGAAGAATCGATTTAATTTATCAGGAATCACGCATTCACCAGTAATTAAGTCGTTTGTTTTAATTTTCGATGGTAATTTTGATTTTTCAATTTTTAAAATAGCATTTCGCAAGGTTAATGCAACTTTATCAATTAAGTTGTCTTCTTCAAGTTTTGTGAAATCATTTTCTAGTAAGCTGCAATCTTTATGAATGATAATTATTTTGTTTTGCTTCGATATAAATTTAATACTTTTCTTAAAATGTTTTTGTATTTTTTCTTCAAGATAATGATTAGTTATTAAACTAATATCTGACTGAGGCTCTAGTTTCTGCTCATATTCCAAATAATTATTGTACGTATCACAGAGAGATGATAAAAATACACATTTTTTTTTTGCATTACTTCTTCTTCTACCGTTGATACAATATGATTAAAAATATCTTTATGAATATTGCGATTTTTATGCCAAGAAGTATGTCGAATGTCTGAAACTATTTTATTATAATCATTTAAATAATTTAATTCACATAAATGATGATAAAAAATTGTTTTATTTTCAGATTTAAGACGATTAATTTTCTGTAATAATTCTTTATTATTAAGTTTTTCCATCCAGTCAATGATTTTGTCATAAAGCTTTGCATCGGGTGAGGAATGAAGATTTTGTTGTTTACCCTTATTCTGTTTACGCTCTTTATCACAAAAAAAACAAACATTTTTGAGTTGTCGATCTTTTCCAACATCTTCAATATTAGTATTAGGAATTTCATTAAAAGCATTAGTTTCGCTGTAAGCAACATATTCTAACGTTGTCTGACTATCTAAATTTGAAGCAGCATTTTCACTAATATCTACTATAATACTTGGTGACAAAGTGGGTGAAGTGAAGTTACTGGCATAATCTGTTTCTGATGATGTATCACGGTATTTTGCCATTAAAGCAGTAAAACTACTATAACACTGTCTATGATATCCATCTGTCTTATTAATTTGTGTGGGCAGCTCAATGTCACTGTACTTTAATTTATGTTTCACACGTACACTTAAAACTTGCTGACATTTTTTTAGTTTATCACCCTCGAAAAGTATTAAATTATCGTTATGTCCTTTACATATAACACACTTTATTTTGTCATTAGCCATTGTAACTAAATTAAAAAAATAATCATTAAAATCAAAACAATTCAAACATGTGACATTAGACTGACGCCAACTCCACGCTCCACAAACTTTTTAACTTCTTGCAAACTTTGTGAAAAAAGTTTGCAAGAAGTTAAAAAGTTTGTTTATTTTTGTGTTTTTTACTTTTTTTTTTCATCTTTTTTTGTGACGTCACTATAGGCTAAAACAACTTGAAAACTTAATATTAATTATTCATAACTTACATTTAGTAATTAGGACAATTTAAATAAAGTGTTGATTATTAATTTTAATCAAATTTTATATTCCTTTTTATGCTCGTACTACAAGCATTATACTGCAATACTTTTCATAACTTTTACATTTTAATTCAAGACTTAACAATCGAATTAATGTCTGGCAAATTCATTTTCAGTTTTTCTTATATTTAAATAACATAATATTAAAGTTACAGACATTCTAAAATGCTTTGAAATTTTTATAAAAATAAAACTTAAAATCGCGTCTGGCACATAGTTAGCAACGTGAAAAATGTCTGGCAATAAAAAAAAGTATGTCAGGTAGACGTATTTAAAAAGGAAAAATCAAAAATTACGCTTCTTAAAATGCAATGCTTCATCATACTGCAAAACTTTATCATTTTAATTCAAGACTTAACAACCGAATTAATGTCTGGCAAATTCATTTTCAGTTTTCCTTATATTTCAATAACATAATATTAAAATTACAGACATTCTAAAATGCTTTGAAATTTTTATAAAAAAATAACTTAAAATCGCGTCTGGCACATAGTTAACAATGGGAAAAATGTCTGGCAATAATAAAAGTATGTCAGGTAGACGTATTTAAAAAAGGAAAAATCAAAAATTACGCTTCTTAAAATGCAATGCTTCATCATACTGCAAAACTTTATCATTTTAATTCAAGACTTAACAACCGAATTAATGTCTGGCAAATTCATTTTCAGTTTTCCTTATATTTCAATAACATAATATTAAAATTACAGACATTCTAAAATGCTTTGAAATTTTCATAAAAATAAAACTTAAAATCGCGTCTGGCACATAGTTAGCAACGTGAAAAATGTCTGGCAATAAAAAAAGTATGTCAGGTAGACGTATTTAAAAAGGAAAAATTAAAAATTACGCTTCTTAAAATGCAATGCTTCATCATACTGCAATACTTTATCATTTTAATTCAAGACTTAACAATCGAATTAATGTCTGGCAAATTCATTTTCAGTTTTTATTATATTTAAATAACATAATATTAAAATTACAGACATTCTAAAATGCTTTGAAATTTTTATAAAAAATAACTTAAAATCGCGTCTGGCACATAGTTAACAATGGGAAAAATGTCTGGCAATAATAAAAGTATGTCAGGTAGACGTATTTAAAAAAGGAAAAATCAAAAATTACGCTTCTTAAAATGCAATGCTTCATCATACTGCAAAACTTTATCATTTTAATTCAAGACTTAACAACCGAATTAATGTCTGGCAAATTCATTTTCAGTTTTCCTTATATTTCAATAACATAATATTAAAATTACAGACATTCTAAAATGCTTTGAAATTTTCATAAAAATAAAACTTAAAATCGCGTCTGGCACATAGTTAGCAACGTGAAAAATGTCTGGCAATAAAAAAAAGTATGTCAGGTAGACGTATTTAAAAAAGGAAAAATCAAAAATTACGCTTCTTAAAATGCAATGCTTCATCATACTGCAAAACTTTATCATTTTAATTCAAGACTTAACAACCGAATTAATGTCTGGCAAATTCATTTTCAGTTTTCCTTATATTTCAATAACATAATATTAAAATTACAGACATTCTAAAATGCTTTGAAATTTTCATAAAAATAAAACTTAAAATCGCGTCTGGCACATAGTTAGCAACGTGAAAAATGTCTGGCAATAAAAAAAAGTATGTCAGGTAGACGTATTTAAAAAAGGAAAAATCAAAAATTACGCTTCTTAAAATGCAATGCTTCATCATACTGCAAAACTTTATCATTTTAATTCAAGACTTAACAACCGAATTAATGTCTGGCAAATTCATTTTCAGTTTTCCTTATATTTCAATAACATAATATTAAAATTACAGACATTCTAAAATGCTTTGAAATTTTCATAAAAATAAAACTTAAAATCGCGTCTGGCACATAGTTAGCAACGTGAAAAATGTCTGGCAATAAAAAAAAGTATGTCAGGTAGACGTATTTAAAAACGAAAAATTAAAAATTACGCTTCTTAAAATGCTTTTAAAATCCAGGATTTTTACCTGGACAGATAGGATGCGCACTAATGAACGCAACCACTACCGCCAGCCAGATTGCCCAGACTCTAACCGGAAGTGCAAGAAGGAAGACATATCACAAAATCAGCTGACCTGAAATTCTTTCTCGAAAACGTTGCTACCTCCCGTACTATATGGGTTGTAAAGTTAAAAGTAAACTTGATATGGATGAAGGGAATGGAATTTGAAGGGAAAAGAGACCTTCGAGAAGAGCCGACCGGTCGCGCCGAGGACAAACAAACATTATGTGATTTAAATCACCTACATCATATCCGCATTAAATTTTGACGTAAAAATATTTACATTAGGACGATAAAAATAAATAGACACTATACAAATTTTATTTACAATAGCAGCAATGACTGATAAGTCATCTCCGAATGAGGGAAGTGAAAATAAGGAATAGGGGAGATAATTTTCAATGACTATGGCAACACCACCATAGCTGTCAGGTCTGTGCTGTCGGAGAATAACATACCTAACCTGGAATTCGAAAAGTCAATTCCGGGCGAAGCCATGTTTCCGACAGAGTTGAGACAAATGGTTCAAATTTATTATGCAAATGGATTAAATCATTTTTATTGCAGAAAGCGCTTCTGCAATTCCACTGGATTATTTGTTCGCGTTCGTGACTCATAAGCGGATTTTAATTTAGTTAAGGAAGCAATTATTTGGCGACGTTGTTCAGTTACGATGTTGTCAGAGTTAGAATTGGATTTAATTTCAGTAAAAAATTGGATTAAATCAGAGATTATGTCCTTATTGTTAACGTTACTGTTTATTAAAGCGACCCCGTTAGAAGGAGCTGGAGCGTCGTAGTCCTTTATCAAATTGAAGTGTTCTGTTTTGTTATACCCCAGTCGTTTTGGTTTGGGGGATGTTGGTTTAGCAAATATTGTTTTCTTATAAGATCTACTATCCGACGGAATCGAGGGAGAGGAAGGCGATACATGTGGGACAGGAGAATTAGGAGTATTCTGGATGTTTGAAAACTTAACTATATCAGCAAAAGATTTTGAAACTGGATCATACACTTTATTTGCTTCTGCGTAAGATACACATTTCTGAGCCATATACAATTTAATTTTAGTCTGCCGTTCATATTCTGGACACTTTCTGTTTGTAGCAAAGTGTAGACCAGAACATAGACAGCAAGACGCGGCATCATCTTGTATGTTGCATGTGCCCCAGTATGGCCTTGGCCACACTTGTAACAGCGGGGCCGAGAGTTACAATTAGACTTAGTACGACCAAATCGGCAACAAGAATAGCACTGAATAGTGGGGTATGCGTAAAGTTCTACGGGCAGAGCATTGTAGCAGACAAATACATGTTTAGGAAGGGTTTGACCATCGAAAGTTATTACAATAGTCTGTGATGGCTTCCACTCAGGAGGGTTGCTGTTACGTACTTTATAATTTAGTCGTCCTTTTTTATAATTCCTCCGCTGCCTACAGGCAGAGAGATGTTGTCTAATATCTCTTCGGGAGACCATTCCGCGGGAACGCCTCGCACTAGGCCCATTCGGTTCACATTAAATGAGGGAATAAAAGCTTTGTAATTATTTCTTGCCAGGCAAGGGTTATTAATAAATTCGTTTGCACATTTGTGGTCAGAGAATGATAGGGAAATTCTGTTTCTGCCTATCCTTTTGATGCTACCATTAATTATGTTTTTAAAAGAATTTTTCTTGAGGAAATACCCAAATTGGACGGGGTGTAGGGAGGGGATGTCCGTATCTGAAGAAACTTTTTGCGCATGAACTACGAATGGCCCTATGTCATAGGCCTCATAAAACGTTCGGCCTGTAGGATTTTTTATGGACTGAGAAACGTCTGATGGAGGTGATGGGTGCTGTTGGGTATTAACAGATGCAGTATCTACACGGTCTACTTTGTTCTGAAAACTATCTAGAGCATTAGCGTTCTTAAGCCCAGTACATATTGAGGGAATTTCAATTTCCGGTATTTGGCACGAGCAATCAGTGTCCTTTTGTTTGTTCCGACGCGTCGGATCGAATCTTTTTTTCCTTTTGTTGCAGTGTTTGCAAATTTTACCTAGTCGCATTCTTTTTCGGTCATTCCGTTGATCCACATCTGTATCTACACTGGACTCGTCCAGTTTAGAAAATCTATTTTCTATTATAATATTACAAGCTACCTCGGGGGGGCGAGCCCCCGATATCCGGGGGCTCGTCCATTTTTTCGCCTGACTCCAGGCCTTGAGGAAAAAGTATACAAACTTACCAGATACTGTAGAATATATACACAAATGAATAAACTAAACTATTAAATTAAATTACTACATACAAATATATACAAACTGATCTTTTATACAAGTTAAATTAAATTTAAAAATTTCACAAGAAAAAACACTCCCGCCACGACCAACGTTTCCCGCGCTTTTTCGAGTACTGAGTTGTGAGTTGTGAGTCTTGCCCTGTGCCCATCGCTAGTCACAGGGCAAGTGGCAACTCGAGTAACTCGGGTCAGGACGTAGGCGAGTCAGCCCGAGCTAAAATATCTGCAAACCGAGTTGATCCGTAGAGTCCGCGCGGCGAGTGTTCAGCTGTTCAGTGGCGGGCTGCGGGCACGCGGGTCGTGGGCGGTGCGGTGGGCTGGTGCCCCTCGGCTAGCTCGTAACTCGCGAGGCCCGAACTACCCGAATCAGCCCGACGACCGAAGTTTGGTCGTCGTCACTCGAACCGTTGTTGGTTTCATATCTCTTACTTCTTATGAGAGAGTTTTGAGATAAAAAGCCAGCTCGCTTATTTGTTTTGTTAAATTTTTTGTTATTGTTTTGTTGCAGTTTTATCAGTTTCTGTTATTTGATTTGTTGACTTTATTAAAGAAATAAGTGCCATTACTTAGATATTGATTAGTTTTTTTAATAAGTATTAGTTGATAGATAGATGACCAAATACCAAACTGTGTTGTGTTTAATTTAAGGAATAAAGTGCCATTAGATTTATTTTAGTTTCTTATTATTTCCAAGGTAAAAATGTTACCATAATTTTATTTTGCGCTACATAAGTAAATTCGTTTTGTGATGTGACGTTTGTAAACACTTTTAATAATAATAAACGTCAGATTGTTTAATGGGCTCAATTTTATTTGACCATTGACACGAAGACTCGACGCAGCCCGGTGGACCTGACCCGGCGAACCGTGAACGTAGCAAACTAGCAACCCACGGAACGATACGCCGAGTCATCATATATTGACTCGGACCTTTGAGTATTAAGCCAGAAAGGAGTCGCCTTTACGCGCGTCCCCCTCTGTCAAAGTACGAACCCGCTGGACATACGCGTTATATAAAACTGTTTCTCGACCCTTCCGCGCCATTCCGGTATGACGCTTGTTAGTGTAAAGAGCTCCGACAAAAATGACTGGATGCAGTGTATTCGGCTGTAAAAAAAGGTCTGACACATCGAGTGTACAAAAAGACAACGTGACATTTCATCTGTAAGTATTTTCTTAAGTAATATTATCGTATATTATAAGAATACGTGAAAGTCAAGTAATGCCGAGTCAATGTTGCCAGTTTATTGCAAAGTTCCGCACTACGACGTTTTTTGTGGCTTAATTTTTTTACTAACAGATGGTACTTACATAGCGATCATATTGTTCAATGACTTAAGTAAATATGCTTTACTATTGATTAGTTGTCCTGTTCGTGGATTCGCTCACAAGTACTTTGAAGGTTTACCCGACACTTCAAATTTTCTTATTATACTAATGTCTTTAATTAATGAAGAAAGGACGTGAAAAATTATAAAAATTTATCACATGAATTTATCCTAATAATGGTTATTTTCCTAAGTTGGTAGTTAGCCACACCACAACGGTTTACGTCATTTTAGAGAGGGGACACATACTATTTTTTTATCGATAAATTATTGAACGAATGAACAATATAATGTAATTATGGATACATTTTTTTAGTTTGAAATAAAACAGTTTTATTTTTATTATAGATTTCCAAAAGACCCTATCCGTCGACAACAATGGATAAAAGCTTGTAAAAATCACAGAACATGGCTACCCAAACGTACAAGTAAAGTTTGCTCCGATCATTTTGATACGTCATGTTTCTTGTTGCTGGCTAACAACAAAAGAAAATTAAAGGAATCAGCAACACCTAATTTGAAATTACCAAATGTAAGTTATATCTAGTTTCGATGCAAACATGTAGGGATCTGTAATAACGTATTATGTATTCCATATAGTTTTGAACATCCACTGGAGTAACTAAAAAACGATTAATTGCTTTTCCAACACCAATGTATACCTATTCTTTACTTCAATGTATACTTTAAAATATAACGGTTTTCAGAAATTTATTCTGTCAACATACGAAGCAAATAGATCTTTATGATTGTTATTTTAAACTAACCTTCTACTTGCGAATTCGTCTGGGCGGATTTTGGATTGGACACATGTGTGTGTGTGTTCAGTAGTAATGTTTGTATTGTATAATTAGGTGTTATATTTGCTTATTTTTCTATATATACTACGCAATATGTATAATGATAATAATAATAATAAGCCTTTATTCATCCACATCTTATTGACATACAATTAATAAAAATAAATATAAAACAGTTTTCACTAAGATCCGACTCCTGTCCGGGAGAAGGCCTCCTCCAACTTTTTTCACCCTAATTTATTTTGTGCCATCGTCATCCAATTTCTTCCAGCTACCCTCTCAATCCCGTCGGCCCATCGCTCTATTGGTCTTCCTTTTGGACCAGTCCATTCGGTTACTGCTTTTGACCATCTGTCACCTGAACAACGGGCTACGTGGCCTGCCCATCTCCTTTTACGTTTTAAGGCATATTGCTCAGCATCAATAAGTTTGGTTTTTCTGCGAATATATTCACTTTTATGTTTGTCGCGTAATTGAATTCCGAGAATACTACGAACGGCAGCGCGGTGCTACGCTGTCGACTTTGCGGTAGTGTATTAACATGTTTCTTGGCTGAGAACGAAGCGTTTTCGACAATACAATTTCGCAAAAGCTGTAGTGTATGTAGAATAGTTTTCGGTAGTAATATGGCTAGACCTAGGCTAGAATAGAAAATGGGAAACGACACCTACAATCTATGCCTACAAATCAACACTATGACGTCATTCTCTGTAAAACGCTAAAAAAGTTATTTCCGACCGCTAATAATTCTATAATAGAACTTGTCGACCTTAGCCATTGGGGCTTTGTGTCAGTGGTTAGACTGGTCCAGATCCTCGATCTTAATTCTTAATATCATTTAACAATTTTTCTATCAATCATTATTTTATATCATACTTATTAAATAAATGAATACTTGAATTGTTTTGCAGATTAATGTGGATTTCGAATAGCAACTTTGGTTACATAGCCAAAAACCCCTTTGTTTGAGTCATGATTATTATTTATTACAAATAAAAAAGGCCTGTATACTGTCGCACGAAACTCTATGGAACTTGTTTATCTTAAATTCGGTATTGTAAATTACCCTATTTCTCCTTAAATCACCTAGTGTTAGGCCCTGTCCCACTTCGTCAGTTAATGTCTTTCCTTTTACCTCTCATTCCGTAATCCGTTAAGGTGATATCAGACGGTTCATTTTTTGTTCATTTTCACCTTTCATTCGGTACATTTCACTCGAAATGAAATGTCTGAACAAAAAATGAAACACGAGTGCCGAATGAATTCATTAGTGAACCGATCCAACAGTGTTGGATATTGGCATCCGGTATCTTTCATTCCCACTCCGAATGAACGAGAAATGAACGGTCTGAACACTGAGAGAACGTTCATTCGGATTCGGCCATTTTGTTTCGAGTCCTGTAGCCGACGGACATCACGTTGTCGACGAAGTTATAACTTTTTTTTAACTTTTCTTCAAATTTACTTTCAAACTCAAACTCAAAATATCTTTATTCAAGTAGGTAACCAAGTACACTTTTGAATCGTCAAGTTAAATTAATCGTAAATTTACATTTACTACCAGTTCGCAAGTCAAGGGCGTAGAGCGGGTAAGAAGAACTGGCAAGAAACTTTCCGCCACTCTTTTTAATCGCCAAGTATTGTCATACAAATTGTTTGAACTGGAGCAATTCAATCCCAAGGATTAGGATCATTTAAGTAGTCCTCAAATTTATAAAAAGCTTTGTTGATTAATTTTCGTTTAACGAGGGCTTTGAATTTATTTAGTGATAATTCTCTAATTTCGCTTGGGAGCTTGTTGTAAAAACGAATACAATTTCCATATAAGGAGTGGTTTATCTTTTGGAGCCTGGTTGGTCGTACACTCAAATTAGTTCTATTTCGCGTATTATACTGGTGAAAGTCACCATTTGTTTTAAAATCGTTTATATTTTTTTGGACATACAACAATTTCATCCATTCGAAGATGATTACAATATGAATCAGGATCTTCAACGGCTAGTTCTCTCAACAATGTATTGGAAGCTCCTAATAAATTTATTCTTTCAATCCATGGTCGCACCCACCACCGTCGACATTTTCTTTGCTTCTTTTTTGTCAACTCTTTGATTAAATGATCACAAATTAAACTAATTCCAAGACGTACGACTTCATTCGATGACATATTTAAAAGAAAGAACAATGAATGTTCATTTCTGTATCATTTCGTCTAAGCCGTGTGAACATAGAATGAAAAAAAATGAAGCATTCACTCGAGTGAACAATCATTCGAGTGAACCGTCTGATATCACCTTTACATATACATATACCTTGATGTTTTGGTGAAGGGCTGAACTTCAGAGGGCGTAAATGAATTAAGCTTAAAGTTTTAGACGCAAATGGCCTTTGTAAGTATTTACTCTTTGTGTTTATTAATTAAATTAAGTAATTGTTAATTTCAGATGATTTAATAACATGTATTTTCCATAACTTTTAGGATCACTCAACTCAAACATTCCCCGTCATTTTTTAATATTTAATCGTGCATGGTATGTATTAACATTTTGTTTTGAATGTTATGTAAAGACAGGTAAAACGAAAAAAATATTGACTGTCAGTACATGAAGTATGGTGAAACATATTCGTAATTAGTTTCGCTTTAGTGAATTTATTATATCATTATGAACTGTTTCAGTGTTTGGCATTGTGATGGCTGCTCTTGACAGATTTCGGTGTGACGATGAGACTGGTGAAATTATAATGTACCAGGTCAATGAAGAAACTGGCGAACCATCAAATACTCATAAGAGTTTTCCTCTTAATTCAGGTCGAGAACTAAAATGCTCACGAAATCATATAAAATTTCCTCGTGGATATATGAGTAAAACAAAAAAATTTCAAACTCTGAAGGAAAAAATTTTATCTGGTTCTAACACTGTGAGTCACAGAATGCTTCTCTCAATTCCTACATTAATGATTTTCCCTAGTTTTGTGTGTGTGATGTTAATGATACTTGAAATTTTTCTTCATATCGGTTGTCAC